AAACGCGCGCGCGACGGTGTGGTGTCTGCGGCAACGTCGGACACAACTCTAGAACCTGTCAAGTAGTGATTACTTCGTCTGAAGAAGAGGAATTTAAGTAGTTACAAACATTTCTATGCGTTGTGGTTGCGTGTAGGTCAAAAATGTCGAGGTGGTCGGGTTGAGGTGTTTCACTCGCTTGTCTGTTTCACTCGCTTATCATGCACGTTAGGTATATTAAAGAATTAGGTGTACGCGGTAAGGTACTAGGTACCCTATATCCGTACTAATTATACCGCGTATATTTGGTACAGTCCCTGGTACCGGGACAAGGTACTAGATACCTACCTACTATTAATTTGACAGGGCTCTTATACCCTGAGTACCTTAACCTACTAGATACCTGCAGTGGTAGGTAGGTATTCGTTCCATTCCATATGTTATTGCAGAACGGAGCACAAATGATTCAAGCATCATCCATCCCGAGTCCCTGCAGTACGCTACTGCAGTGTTCTAGGGCTGATGTCCATGTCAACTAGGTTGGTCCGTGACTGCACCGCTGGCGAATCGTTCCTGAACCATCACACTCACAACCATAGCCGCCTCCTCGAGACTGGACACACTCTTGACGCTGTCCTCGTCCTCGGCGACCGAAGAGACTCCTGAATCCCGGTCCCCGTTCCGGCGCAGGAGCAAGGCATCCAAATCCGCGCCAACCGCGCCAACATAGTCTTTGGAGTACTCGTCCCCAATGTGTATCCAAGCAGTATCGCCCACTTCGTGGCGGATGCACTCTGTCATGCCCCGGTGAGGTGCCGAAGTCGAGGTATCCACGGCCTGTTCTGCACGCGAGCCGGGGATCGGGATGATGAGTTGGCGAGCAGCGAGCCAGACATTGATGTCCGGTTTCTCCGCGCCAGCCTCGTAGCTCGTACACAGAAAGTCGAAGTCGTTGTCCGCGGCAAAATAATCCACAAACGGACTGGCCAGCAGCGCTCGATATTCCTGGTTTCTGAAGCGGCTGGCCGTCTCGGCGATGGTTTGCCCAAAGTCAAGTCGAGGCAAACTGGAAGGTCCCGCCGTCAGACCCAAGTCTTGCAGCACTGATCTGACACGCGGATCAGAGTTGGTGACCACGCCCGTGGCAATCAGCGGCCCGTCTGGACCGCCAAACTGGCCCTTGAGCATGCGTAGCGTGTGCAGAAAAGGCTGGACGTCGGGGTAGAGCTCGTACGCCTCGCCCGAAGAGAAGTGTTGGTAGAGACGGGGGCCTAGGTCGTGGGGGATGTGTTGCTGGTCCACGTCCACCAGGTTGCGGAATGCCCGGTTGACGAGCTTGGTCCACCAGGCTTCAGGATCACGCAGCTGTCCCTTGCCGTAGTTTGGATAGACGGTATTGTAATGCTTGAAGGCCGATCTGAAGGCCGCATCGAGCCTCGCCGAGTCGATGTCAGCTTGCAAGCCACATTGTTGGGCAACCGTTCGATACTGGACTGCCACAGGCTCTCGGAAGCGATACAGGGTGCCCAATGCATCCAGCGTGACCACAAACACCGGCACTTTCTGGCGCATGGTCAGGGCCTTGAACGCGTCCTTCAACATGGCCAAGGCCCCAATCCGGAGCTGCGTCATCTTAGCCTCGAGTCGACCCTGTCACCACCACTGCTACCGCTGCACTACGAGTCTGGGGGATGTCATGAGCTCGTGGCTGTGGCTGCATACAAGTACTCCGTACAGAGCGACAACGTGTCAAATGCAGTGCCGTGCTGTGATGAGCGAGGCGGCGACTGGACACAGCTTGATGCCTGGTCCCGAATGACGGTCCGTGAGTTAGATAGACACCATATGTACCTAGGTACTCCGTACAGTACGTAGTTATGAATGCAGGACGGATACTGGGTAGTGGTGGTGGTGGTGGTGGTAGTGGTAGTGGTAGTGGACAATTATCACTACAAGTTCATACCTACCATCTAACCTAGGTACCTACCTAGGTAGTACCTTTGGTGCCCTAGGTTAGGTACCTTACCTAATACAATAAGTCATTATGATTACGTGGGCCACGACCAGGTCATTAGCAATTCCCGGAGCGGACCCAGACACTGACCCAGCTGTGCAGAAAATATGCGTGGTTATCTCAGCATCGCCCGCGCCCGCCTATAGTGTGTAAGGTAGGCACCTAGGTACCTAGGTAGGTAGTAGGTAGTGCTTTAGGGCTAGGAGGTTTAGGGCCTTAGGCCTCCTTGGGTAGCCTAAGGCTTAGGGTTCCTAAGGCCTGGTGCAGCCTCGGCCTCCGGCCTCCGGGCGGGTTTTTCTGCACACGACACAATATGATTAATTATTTTATTACTTACCGTAGGTACCTACCTACCTCACCTTATTATTATGTACTCCGTATGTACTCCGTGCTCCGTACTAGACGCATCCAGCATCCAGGATTTGTCAACCCATTCGATCGACCGCCATCCAGACCGCACTCGCGGCCTCAGTCTCAGTCTCAGCCTCCTCGCTGCCCGCCTTTGCTGCCCGTAAACATTATATTAATATTGGTCAATGCTCGCTCTGCCATAGTTGCGCCTCTAACCTACTCACCCTCTCACCTGCCAATCCAACCCCAACCCCCATATCCAACCGTCAAACTGTTCTCCTCGGCTTTTCGTCGCGCAGCCCACACCTCCCTTCGTTCCTCGCTCGGCCTCTCCGTCGCAGCGTCGGCTGTCGCCCAGCAGAAGCCACAGCTACAGTCTCAGTCACCTCTGGCCAGAAAGTTCTCCTCCTCGTCATCCACCTGCGCCATGGCGCCTCATACCAAGGTGGCCATCATTGGCTCCGGGCCTGCGGGCCATACCGCGGCCATCTACCTTTCACGCGCAGAACTCAAACCTGTCTTGTATGAAGGCATGCTGGCAGGAGGCACGGCCGCAGGCGGCCAGCTCACCACCACCACCGATATTGAGAACTACCCGGGGTTCGCCAAGGGGATTGGGGGCTCCGAGTTGATGGATGAAATGCGGGCGCAGTCTCTCCGATTTGGCACCGAGATCATCACCGAGACCATCACTCGTGTCGACCTAAAGTCGAAACCGTTCCGATTATGGAGGGAATATGAAGACGCCGACGCCGACGAGCCCGCCCACACGGCCGACGCGGTCATCATCGCCACAGGCGCCAACGCCAGACGGCTGGACTTGCCGGGAGAGGATAAATACTGGCAGAACGGCATCTCCGCCTGCGCCGTGTGCGACGGTGCCGTACCGATCTTCAGGAACAAGCCGCTCGTCGTCATCGGCGGCGGGGACTCGGCAGCAGAGGAGGCCATCTTCCTGACCAAGTACGGGTCGCACGTCACGGTTCTGGTGCGGAAGGACAAGCTGCGAGCGTCCAAGACCATGGCGAAACGACTCCTGGCCAACCCCAAAGTCACGGTCAAGTTCAACCATGTGGCAGTCCAAGTGCAGGGCGAGGAGAAGGCGCGAGGCTTGATGACACACCTCAGGGTCAAGAACACCGTCACCAACGCCGAGGAGGTGCTCGAGGCCAATGGTCTGTTTTACGCCGTCGGCCACGATCCCGCCACCGCCTTGATCAAGGGCCAAGTCGACACCGATGACGAAGGCTACATCGTCACCAAGCCCGGCACCAGCTACACCAGTCTCCCGGGAGTCTTTGCCGCCGGCGACGTCCAGGATAAACGTTATCGCCAGGCCATCACCAGCGCCGGCAGTGGATGTATGGCCGCCCTGGAGGCGGAGAAGTACCTGGCCGACCTGGAAGATGACGAGCCCACGCTCGACAAGGAGCAAGACGCAAAGAAACCCGAGTCCAACGGCGATACCGCGCCCGAGTACCGATCAAATCCCCTCTTGTGACTTATAGACCCGGAGAATTAGATGGCGGGACAGGGGAAGTGGGACGTGCTAGAGTAATGTAGAAGGTCGAGCTCGCTCCCTATATCCATGTATACCTATGGTTGATCTACATTTTTAGTTGTTTCGGCTGCCGCCATCGCCAGGCATTGCCAGGTAGCAGAAGTAGTAGTACAAAACAAAAGAGTATAATCGGTGCATATGTCGTGCGTCTCATCTCCGCCTCAAGTACCATCCAAAGGCAGGGGCTTGTACCAGGTCGGAGAACGGGCTCGGAACCTCGGCCAAGCCTGGCCTAGCCACAGGATGTCTCAGATACACTGCTGCACAGATCTTGTGGTTCACCTCGAGATACCGAGGAATGAACGCGAACGCGCTCATGTAGTCGCGGGGCATCCAAGGAGTTGCGTACGGCTTTGAGTCGTCCACCGGGTTCTCGTGCATTGACTGCAGCGCTGCGAGGAGCTCGTTGTACTCGCCATCCGTGATGCTGTTCTCCTCGTGGCCAGCTTCTGTAGAAGCTTCGCCCTTCTCAGCCGGTGTCGAGGGTTCCACTCCATCATCAGCAGAGGCCCGCGCCTCGTCTTGGGCGGATGGGAGAGATGACGTGCCGGCTTCCTGGTTCTGCCTTCGAATCTGCAGCTGATGTTGTATCTCTGCAAATTGCGCCTCTATGCTGTCGGTCAAGATGGTAGAAGACTTTGACCGGGACAGTAGCCGTTGGATGGTCTTCGAAAACGCCCTCAGGTCCTGCTTTCGCTTCGCTCCGAGATCTTGTTTCGTGGAGGCGAGAATGGTCTTGGCCTGCGCTTTGAGATCTTTCAGCACCTCCCTAGGATCTCGTTCTACCTCAACATCGTCTGTGGCCTGATCTTCAACTACCTCCTCGTCTGCGGTGTCGCCCTCCTTTTCTTCCGCAGTATTTTCTTCACCATCCGCGTCTTCGGTGGCGGCTTCGAGCTTGGCCGAGGGTTTGGGCGCGCCGGTGGCAAACATGACTCTTTCTGGCTGCACATGGAACATGTCTCCGGGATTGAGGAGATAGCCTGGATATCGCATCTTGATCACGTTAGCTCCGAGTAGGGTCCGGGCCAATCCCATTTTTGTCGCTTACCTCTTTGCCGTTAACCTTGACCGCACCGTGCACCACAAACTGTCGGGCTTGCCGAGCACTGCTTGCGAACATGGCCCTGAAAATGGCCGTATCTAGCCTTCTCTCCAGCGGCGCAAATGTCATCTGCATGTAGGGGATGGACGGATCCGCCTTCGGCTTCCGCCTTAGCGACTCCCTACTGTCCAGTCCCGACCCTCGCCCAGCCGATTCGAGGGTACCATCATTGGAGGCGAGGTATTTCGCATCCATGGGAATGACCGATCGGATCCGTGTATCGAACATCCGCACCCACTGTTTTTCCCGGACCTGCTCGCCATGGTAGTTTCGTGCTATCGATTTGGCCGTCCATTTCACCTGGAAGAGATTCCTCCCTCTCTCCCTGGGTTTGGCTAGTCGAGACAGGTTGTAGAGATTATATTTGCTCCATGACTGCCGAATTCTCTGCCACCGCCGTCAGTCTCGGTGCGCGGCTGGGAGGGGCTAGTATCCTACCAGTTCGCCGAGGAAGGTTTTCTTCACCTTGAGCGGTGTGGTCGCTCGATTGCGCATTGTGGGAGCCCGGCGGTAGATGGCCGGCGCTGGTATGACATTGACAGCATGCAAGCAAAGCGGATGGTGCTCTGCATCAAAAAGTACAACTTGAAGTAGCGTCCATACTAGTAGCACCCTGGCTGGCAGGATGTGGCAGGTTTGCCGGTTCTTTCTTGGCGCAGAAATCCATCTTCAACAGACGCCCGGTTGGGCTGCATCGCCTCATATTTTCATTAACGTCAATATCTTGATGAGAGCAGCAATCCTCGAGACTTGTCTCCCTCCACAACCTGCTCAGCCGTGGCTCCTACAATGTCATGGCATCGTCATTTGGCTCTGTAGTGCCAGACCAACAATCGCAACCAGTTCCCCCGAACGCCGTCCATCACATGCCAGTCATTCCCGCTGGTCTAGCCCTGCATCGTTTGCCAGAAATAGTCTGAGTAGAACCAGCGCGAGAACTTGGGGTCGATGTTGACCACATGGACATCACCCTTTTTCGTGTTCCCAATGGTTGCCTTGTTGTAGTTGCCAGCCTCGTCTTGCTCGAGACTTATGCCGAGTGATCTGTACAGCCAGAGTCGCAGTCTGCCCCGGGTCAGCAACCTGCTCGTGCTCACATGCGGCAAAGACTTACATTGTGGGATCGTCGGCTTCCCGCGCACGGCGCATATTTTCGTCTCCCTCTACGCCTTGTTCCTCCAGCTCTGCCAGGCGTGTCTTGAGCCTTTCCAGTTCTGCCTCCAGTCTTTCGCTCTCGGCTTCGAGTTCGGATGCTTGTTTTGCAACACGGAATTTTTTCGTGTCAAGCTGTACAATCTCACTGGCGTGCCTGCCGCTGTCATGGCTTGAAACAGCCTCGCGATGTTGAGAGGACAATGTTGCCAGCTGGCGGGACAGTTTCCTCAGCACCGTATCGGCATCTCGAATCCGTAGTTCGCGAGATTGCTGTAGTGTTGACAAGGAGTCGTTGACGCGCGAGAGGGCGGCTTTGTCGGGCGCAATGTTGAAGTTGGAGACAGTTGCGCGGATGAGCTAAATACACCGGTTAGCAGGAGCAACATTGCTTAGCGATACAAACACACCGTTGCGGGATCCTCGTCGAGAAGCATTTAGGCAGCTGTCGCGTGAGAAGGAGGACTTTGTCGCCCACAAAAAGGAATGCAACAAAAGTGATGATGTCTGCTGGAGATGGTACCGAGTATTCTGCCCAATGTTGACGATGCTGGGTTGCGGGGAGCAACGCGCGCCGGTAGTGCTGTTGAGCCTTAGGGGATTAGGGGCTAAGGGGCCCCCTCAGCCTAAGGCTTAAGCACCTAAGACACCTAAAGCACCTAATAAGGCTGCCTGTGGCTGCCCTGTGGCTGCCCTGCGTCATCCCATTATTTCGGAGTGTTTCTTCGCCACATGCAGCCTGCAGCCGTCACTTGGACTGCGCCACATGTCCCTGCAAGCTGAACTTCACCAGGCTCGATGCTTGGAATCACCGGCAGGAACAACGTTCCCTTCTGATCTACCATCGTTGTCCTGAAGTGAGCGAAAGTTTGTTCGGTCTCTTGTCCAAAATCACCCAATCCACCCCAGGCAACATGCCATCGAATCTGCCTTGTAAGTTGCCGCACCTACAACTTGAACGCGCCAAAGAAGAGATGTCCACTAACTCGTGTCCAGATGCTGCAGATGCAGAAAGGTCAGTTTGATAAATTCGAGCCGGAACCCGCTTCTCTGACCGTCGTGCCGCAGTCCTCTCAAGCCCGCGGAGTTGCAAGTTCTTCGAGCACAGTACGAAAAAGAAGGCGACTATGTCTCGGTCCAAACTAAATTCAACTACGCCTGGGTATCTATGCCTGCCTTGTACAATCACAGCGGGAGGTCTGACTGATGGGCGAAGGGATTGATCAAATCCAATCAACGGGGTGACCAACAACTCGGCGTCCAACTTCTCTCGGACATTTTCAAGACGACACCAGAGCGAAGGCGCGAGTGCCTATACTATTTGGCTCTCGGCAATTACAAGCTAGGAAACTATGCTGAAGCACGACGATACAACGACCTGTTAATAGAGAAAGAGCCTGGGAACTTGCAGGCTGCGAGTCTGCGACAGTTGATTGATGACAAGGTGTCGAGAGAAGGGTTGATGGGTGTCGCAATCCTCGGGGGGGCTGCTGTAGTTGCCGGTATAGTTGGTGGCATGATCATGAGAGGGTCACGAAGAAGGTGATCACTACTTGCTGCCGGCTTGTCAAACCTGTTTGCTATGCACGGGGTCAAACGGAAATGCCAACATCAAGTTCTCGGTGCAAATGGGATACAGGCGGAGATGCGGAACGAGTTCGAAGCCCAAGAACTGGATCTGGACATGAATAGCGTCGTGATTCCAGCTCAATATAGTATTGATGGTGCTGGGTACATATGAGCCAGCCTGCAGACACCACGAGAGGACCGTTTACACCCTTCACTTTCTGTATTGGTGGTGGTGAGAAATACCTAGCAGGTGCCTAGTACACTCGTAGTTCACGTGTAGAAGCAATCGCATACGTCAACCCAATTGGTGACACTCGGGCTTCCCTGCTGGACTGCTGGACTGCTTTGTGTCTGCGCCGACGAACAAATAGCCAACTTGGTCAGCTCTCGCCTATCCTGAACATCAATCTCACTCCTCCCGCCTGACCGTCGCCTCCTACCTCCTAGACCATTTCCTCTCTGTCGCCAAATCCCCCCAGGCCGAGACTAGGGCTTTTCCACCCAAGCCACTGTGCCACCTACCTGCCTTGCGGATGACGCAGACCCTCCCCCTACGCGCCGTATTAACAAACACCTTCGTTGAACTTATCTATTCGATCCATCCACTCATGCCCCATCTCCATCATGGCCGATTCAAGGAGACTGGAGGGCGAACATGTCTTCTGTCACCAGTGCAACCATGAGTGGGAAAGAGCGCATGGGGGGCTGACTTGTCCCCGGTGCGAAGGCGACTTCACAGAGATTGTACATGCCCTACAACCGCCTTGGAGGACGATACTAATGAAGCTGACCAGATTGAACCCCCGGCCGCATCGACACCAGGCCCTCCCCAACAACCGTCCATCTCACCTTCGCCGACACCCTCATCGCCTCTCCATCCTCTGTTTGACCACAATCCCTGGCTCGACGATCCGGAGCCTCAGCCTCGCGATAGTTTCACCACGTTCGAGTTCACAAGCAATCATGGCGGGGGGAGAATCTCTTTCACCACCCGATCGATCAGAATGGGTAACATGGGAGCAAATGTACCGAACCCCCTTTGAGGATGAATTTGACCACGTGCTTACCGACACACTGGGACTACAGACCCGAGCCCTGCCACCCAACCCTTTCCGCCCTCTGTCGCCTTTTGGATATCCTGATGATGAATTGCGGGGGTCCAACGGACCCATGACGCCAGGAAGTCTACAAGAGTAAGTGCAATGGCCCGGTCTTAAGCTTTTGACTAAGTGACTGGTCAGTTTGTTATCCCTCATCCTACAGTCGATGCAGCCTCCTGCAGTCCCTCGGCCTGAAATTGACGGTACCCGAGCAACCGGCCAACAACCGTACCCGTTTGATCTCTTGAGTCAGCTATTCAATCCCGGCCACGCCCATCATGGCGATATGGTCTTCACCCAGGAAGCCTTCGACCGTGTCATGACACAGTTGATGGAGCAGAACCAGGCTGGCAGTGCGCCCCCGCCGGCCTCGGAGGAGGCAATCAATTCACTCAAAAAGAAGAACGTGGATCAGGAGATGTTGGGTACAGACGGCAAGGCCGAATGCTCGATATGCATGGACAACGTAGAATTGGGGGAGGAAATGACTGTTCTCCCATGCAAGCACTGGTTTCACGGTAGCTGCGTGACGGCGTGGCTGAAAGAGCACGACACCTGTCCCCATTGCCGCAGACCGATTACGAACCCGAGTGAGCGCCCTGAACAGAGTTCTCCGAGGCGACGCATGAGTCGCCGCGCGTCGTCTGTGTCAAGCCCTCGCGGTTGGGGGCCGGACGGTAGCCGCCAACCCCCCATGCCCATTCCAGAAAGTCCGAGTCAGTTGCAGCAAAGCAGGCAGTCGTATTATGGGCTCCGACCAGATCCGGACACGCATCCTACCAACTACGTGAGACAGTCCAGGAGCCAGCAAGATGCAAGACGACACAGTTCGAGGGGCCGTTCAGGAGGGAATTCAGCAAGTCCGGGCAGCAGTTCGGGGGGAGGTGTCACGGGTTGGATTAGGGATCATCTACCGTTTTCGTGACGAGCTTCTGCTGTCGAGAGATGCGCAACGAACCTTTACGACGACGAACTGTAATACTAGAGTATTGAGATTGGACAATTCCCCTACTACTATCAGGTAAATGCTAGAGCTGGGACCGGTGGAAAGAATGCGACCGGCGACCCTTGTTGTCACTGGTGAACCTGCTTCGGGGGCCTTGTCACGTGCTTTGCAATGTGATCACATGCCACCACGTCACCTGACCACGGCACAGACACCACAAATACGAGTAGATGCAGGCACCTTAGGTACCTAGGTACTCGTACAGGGTTTCTTTCACATGCAAACCGAATATTTGTGCTTCTCGCCTAACGACGACGATCGGATCCTGGATCCTGAACCACGTCCTCCGTCCTCCGTCCAGGAACAGCGTACGGCGTCAGTCCGCAATGATGGCTGATGCGCCCGGGTCAGCTGCTCAATCCCAATTCCACTTCCGACTTTGACTCTCTCCCACTGCACCGCCACCACCCTTTACCCTTTCTTCAGTTGTCACTTGTCAGACAAAGCAGTCGGGTGTCCGTGCTTGGTATGGCGATGGGTTGTTTTGACTTCTTCTGACCTGTCACCCTGTTGCTCGTACTGCGTACTGTTCGTCCGTCGAGCCTCTCGCACACTCCTCGCGATGATAGGTATGCCTCTACGCACCCAGCCCCTCGGCCAACTCGGGCAACTGACCTTAAATTGCAGACCATGTGTTGGGCCGGCCGTCGTCACAGTTCCGCAAGGTTCAGGTCTTCGCAGTTGTCTCGTTCTGGTCGTTGTACCTGCTGAGGTGCGTCGTTCCCAGTCTCGTGTGCAGCCCTCTCGCTCTAATGCCATCAAAGAGGAGACAGACACGGCCCTCCTGGTGTCCGAAGGCTCTCCGAGCGCCTTTCCCGCCGGCTGACTCCCTGGCGATCCGTTGTCCTCACCCTCCTCTGGCTCTACATCTGTCGGAATTTCGCCAAACTGGTCGGCCTCGAGTCCCCCGAGCCCCTTGCCAATCTGTACAGCAGAGCCTACTTTCGAGCGACATGGGTCACGACCGCATTGGACGCCGGGTTCTGGACCGCCATGAGAATACGAAACAAGGCGGTCAGGGATTTGGCGTCGATGATTTTCACCCTTTATTATCTCATTGCGGCGGAGAAGGCAGATGAAAAGGTCCGAAAGGTGAGGGCGGTGCTGACCGTCGACCATTTACGCGTGTCCTGGAACAAACCAAACACGCCGTACCTCAAGTGGCTCGCTGCGATGCTCCGTCCGCGATTCACCAAGTACAAACCTCGGCGGATCCGGATCCCCCGGCCGAAGCAATCCACTTACAAGGAGCCTGTCGTGGCATGGATGTACTTTGACGGGTCGCTTGCCGAGCTGGAAAGGCAGGAGAAGTTGGTGTTGGACATTCCCGGGGGTGGCTTTGTGGCCATGGATCCACGCACCAACGACGACAAGTTGCTTGCCTGGGCGGGAAGGACGGGCCTCCCGGTGCTCAGCTTGGATTACCGCAAGGCCCCGGAATACCCTTACCCGTATGCTCTCAACGAGTGCTTCGACGTGTACACTCAGATTGTGGCGACCCGGGGACGATGCATCGGCATGAAACCGCCGTCGTGTCCTCGGATCGTCCTCACCGGCGACAGTGCCGGCGGCAATCTGGCCACCGGGACCACCTTGATGATCATCCAGTCCAACCAGGCGGGGGCTTCTCGAGGAATTCTGCCATCGCCAGCGGGGTTGGTGCTGTTGTACCCGGCGTTGGACATGAACATATCGAGTTGGATGACGGACGATCAAATGGCGTTGATCCGCAATCCGAGGACGGCGAAGAAATACCGCAGCTTCATCCGAAGGAAGAGCGAGGACATCGACAAGCGCTACACGCCAACCACCCCCCGGCCGGCCGAGGACGGCGAGGGTGATCCGGATCGCGGCTTCTTTGCATTTCGCGAGCGCGAGAGCGAGAGCGAGCAGAAGAGCAACTCTCGGGAGGATGGACGCCAACCCCCGGGAGATGTCGAGGCCCAGAAACAGGTGGTGGCCAGCTCCAAGCCGCAGCCGTTGAAGACGAGATTGGCCGTATCTTCCATCATCTCCTACTTTGGCGACCGCATCTTGACCCCGGAGATGATGCGAGCCATGATCATCCTGTACGTAGGCCCGTACAACCGGCCCGACTTCACCACGGACCACCTGCTCTGCCCGGCGGTGGCGCCGGAAAACCTGCTTGCCAAATTTCCCAAGACGTACCTCATCACGGGCGAACGCGACCCTCTGGTGGACGACACGGTCATTTTCGCGGGTCGGCTGCGACAAGCGAAGCTGCACCTGTTCCGCGAGCGGCAGGAGGTCGGGCTGGAGAAGTCGACGGCCGAATTCGCCGAAAAGGACCACGTCGAGGTGACGCTGATCCCGGGCATTTCACACGGCTTCGTCTCGTTTGTGTCGGTGTTTCCCGAGGGCTGGAAGCACATCTTCCGCTGTGCCAATTGGATCCTGGAGATCTTCGACCAGCCGCCTCACCAGTTCGAAGGGCCGGCCCTGGAGTCGAGGATGCGCAACGGGACTCTGACGCACGACTCCGGTCATGGCCACGGCCACGGCCTCCACCTGGACCTGGCTTCGACTCAGCTGCGGCATCACCGGCGCACGCTGACGGGGGAGAGTGTCGACGACGATGGCCCGCTGCTGATGTCGTCTTTGAGGGACGAGAGCACCAAGACCCAGACTCAGACCCCGTCGAGCGCCGACGCGACGGTCAAGGACAAGGATGAAAGGCAGGCACGCGGGCGGGCACGCCACGAAAGGTTTCAGGCCCAGGCCGACAAACCCAGGAGCAAGAGTCTGGTGTCGTTGGGCAGCGAGGAAGATCTGCTGAAGCGGCGCATGAAGGGTCTGACGGTGGGCCTAATGGGATCCAGTCACGGCTGAAGGTTGAGAGTTGAGAGGTGAGAGTGAGAGGTGAGAGTGAGAGGTGAGAGTGAGAGGTGCGAGTCGAGTTGCGAGTTGCGAGTTTGCAATAGCCACGAAAGGGAAAGGGAAAGGGAAAGGGAAAGGGGAATGGAAAGGGGCCGAAGCCGTGGCAAGGTTGAGAGTGTGAGAGTGTGAGAGTAAGAGATAGATGAGCCATATACGAATGGGCATATGATACATGTATATGATATATGATCAGTACCGAGTACCGAGTACCGCGACCCTAGATTAGAAGATGGCAATAGAGATGATCCCATCCTGAGCATCCTGAACTGCCGTGTCGGACCGCAGGCTATTCATCGACCGTTGACCATCAACGCCATGTTCGGTCGGTGTCGTCCCATGATCCCATCCCGTTGAATTCATTCCAGGGTTTCCAGCTTCGGTTGTGTTAGAATTGTGTTGTCTCAGGGTTGGGGTCAGGGTGAAACATCCTTGTACGGAGTACAGTACCTCACACTCGCTGCCTTCCTAGATTGTACAGTACCTCACACTCTCTACCTTCTTGTGGATTCTACAGTACCTATACTCGCTGCCTTCTTGGACCACGATGGCCTGGGCGAGGAATCGGTAAAGGCTGGAATGGGATCAGCTTTAACTTCACCCTCACCCTCAACTTCAACCTCACCCTCAACTTCAACCTCATCTTTGTTTTCTTTTTCCATTCCCTCCGTCCCTTCTTTCCGTTTTCTTCCTCCACCAGAGTCAGAGGCAAGAGTCAAGCTAGGGTCACCGTCCACGCTGGGCACGGGCATGGGCATGGTCATGGTCATGGTCGCGATGACGGGCCTGGCTGCGACCAACGGAGGCGGCCTCGGCAACAACATCGATTCCATGTCTTTCGGTGCCAGAGGCGGCGCACTTCGTCCGACATCCCACGTTCCAGGTCGTAGGTCGTAGGTTTCACTGCTGACTATTTCCTCCTTGCTCACCGGGTTCCTCTGTCGATGTGGCCTGTCATGGCTCTCATGGCCCTCGGGCAATGGCGATGATAATGACAATGAGAAAGATGAAGAGAATGACAATGATAATGGCAATAACAATGGGCCTTGCGCCTTGCGCCGATGAGAAGAGAAATGAGAGACGAGAGACGAGCCAGGCGTCGAGGGCACTTCCCTGGCCAGCAACTCCTGCGACAGCACCAGCATGGCCTTAGAGCCTCTCCGCTCTCAACCCTTGAGCACCAAGGGTCAAAGAGATGCAGCATTGCATTGCATGCATGGTGGTCAGGTCAATTCACCTCACTTCGCCCAAAACAGTCCCAGTCCCACTGCCCAACATGGGAGCACCCCTCAGGGCACGCAGTTCATTACTTCGACGCACGACGTCGCGGTCGAACATCCACCACCAGGCGCGAAACACCGTCTCGCCGACTTCCCAGCTCTGGGCGGAAAAGGGGTCGTCGCCAAAGATGCGCACGCCCTCGGCACTGTCTTCCAAGTCGTACACCAAATCCAGCAGCGCGGTGGGCGAGGCCGCCCCGGCAGGTCGTGCTTCCGGGGGCTGCGACAACACCATGATGAGGCGGTCGCGCACCGCTGGCCACGGCAGCAGGTCGATGATGGGGTGGTGCGGCGTCGACAGCTGCACGAGAGTCGGCTGGAGATTGGGTGGCAAGTGAGTGAATTGAGCGGTGTCAGGCTCCGTGGAGGTGAAACTGGAGCTGGAGCTGGAGCTGAAGGTCAAGGTGAATGGTGACAGCGACGTCAGCGACCAGATGAGATGCTGCAGGTTCATGCGCCGCGCAATCGACATGCAGCCGTGCAGCAGCTTCAGCTCCGTCATTTCCAAAAGTGCGTCGTCGGCGAACGAGTATTGCATGTTCTGGTTCTGGTTCTGGTTCTGGTCCTGGTCCTGCGTGACGAACGCCATCTTGGTCGTTGTTGCTGGGTTCGCTGTCGTGAGTCGCTCTCCCGCCGGGACGCATGCCAGAGGGGACGATGTCGATGTATCTTGAATCGAAGATACCCGTGTCGTCTCTGACAAGGGCGTGCTTGGGCTTGCAAGGGATGGACCAGACCAGGACAAGTCGTTGTCCCACAGACACTGCTCGTCTTCGTCTATTGGGAAGTCGAACATGTTCTCGTTGAAGATCGCGCAGTGATCATGTTCTTCTTGCTGGGCGACCGAGGCCTGGTCTCCGTTGGGCGTCCAATCTCGAGCCACCTTGCCCGATTGTACCTGGAACGGTAACAAGTCTCTGAACTCAAGCCCGGCCGGCGGCGTAGGCTTAGGCTCAGGCTCAGCATTGTACTTCAGATGTCTTCGCCTGTCTGCAGCGATGGCCAGAATGCTCGGGCTCATACTCGTACTCGTGCTCATGCTCGGGCTCGGGTTCTGCGGGGTCGGTCGATTGATGGCGCCGCCACCGTCGCCGTCGCCGTCGCCGTCATGGTCGGCGTTGACTCGCGCCTCGAGCCGCTGGACATGTTGCTTTCGTCGCTGTCGATACCGTCGCTGGGCGAGGATGTTGAGCATGCGTTTTCGCTCGGCGGCATCTTCTCCCGGCTGCGGGACCTTGAGGTCAGGGGCCTTGGCCTTGCGTGTCTCCTGGCTCTGGTTCTTATTGTTTGGCATGGTGTGGTCTGGTGTGGTCTGGTGTGGTCTGGTGTGGTCTGCTCTGCTCTGCTCTGCTCTGCTCTGCTCTGCTCTGCTCTGCTCTGCTCTGCTCTGCTCTGCTCTGCTCTGGTTCGGCGAGATGCCACCGGGTTGTTGCTGTGTTATGCTAGGGCAGCCTGATCTGACAGAGATGCCTGGGACCTACAAGTAAGGCTGAAGAGTCATGGTCTCCTTCATGGTCGGAAAGTCAAGGTCAAGGGGAAGGGCAAGAACCCCAACCAAGAACCAAGAACCAAGCCAGACGACATCTGATATGAATGGCTAAGGCCTGATCGGCGGGTGCGCAATCTACCTTACCTTAGCAAGACGGCATGGCATGGCATGGACGACAATGAGGAAGGGGACAGAAATGACAGCGGCAGGCGGGTGAATGAATACAACTTACCTACCTTACTGTACGTCAGCATAACGTTATGTTTCCAGTAGGATACCAATGGCACTCCTCCGGCCTGGGGTACTGTACCTGTACTGTACTGTACTGTAACCCCGCCTGGAGACGACACGTCCACGACAAGGACAAGGACGGTCACTCCCGAAGATGGGCACTTGGGCAACGACTTGGATTTGTAATCTGATGGACTCTGATATATTCCCATCTGTTGCTGGGGCAATTAGGGTGATTCTATCGGACATGTACAGAGTAGATACTACTAGATACCTACCTTATTCTATACGCTTACAAGATCCACTGTTTCTCAGCTTGATTGGAAATCCAATGTCAGATCCAGTATGCTACAGTACTGTTACTATAAGAACTTGCCCTCAGCCTCAGCCATGCTCATTCAATCCCCATACCCTCAACTATTTAAACATATCTCCCAGAGAACAGTTCGTTTGAAACCTTTACGCCATCGAAGACTGAAGAGATTCACCTCAGAGTCACAGACCTCCCTAACCAAATCAATAGATATATATAGAGAGAGAGTGTGTGTGTACAGTGATATAAATCCCGACCACTCCTACCACTCCTACAACTACCAATCATGCCTCCAACCGAACCAAGAATCCCCAAGGGTGACACGGTGCTCGTGACCGGCGCCAATGGCTACATCGCCTCGCATGTGGTCGACGTCCTCCTCGACCAAGGATACAAGGTGCGTGGCACCGTCCGCGCGCCCAAACCATGGCTCAACCGGCATTTCGACGCCAAATACGGCGCCGGGAAATTCGAAACCGCAATCCTCTCCGACTTAGAGGACGAAGCGGGCTTTGATCACGCGGTCAAGGGTGTGTCGGGGGTGATCCATGTGGTGCGTTCTCGTTCCGTCCCAACCTCGTCCTAGTCCTCGTCCTCGTGTCGACCACACAACATCAGCCCAGAGATCCTCGGGAGGGAACCACTGGCCACTGGCCGAAGATCATTATACCTATACCTACCTATACCTATACCGCTGCCACTGACACTGTACCGTCCACCCATAGGCTTCAGACGTCTCCTTCAACTCGGACCCAGATCTCGTCATCCCCAAAGTGGTGGCCGGCACCGTGAATGTGCTCAAGGCGGCGGCCAAGGAACCTCGGGTGAAGAGCGTGGTCTTGACATCCTCCTCCAATGCCGTCGTCACACAAGGCGTCAGCAAGAACGGTCTCGTCATCGATCAAAGTGAGTTAGAAAGCCTTGTCACGTCGACGTCGACCTGAGATCCCAAATGCAAATGCAAGCCCAAGTGCGACTTCGACTTCCCATTTCGCACTTCCCAATTCGCACTTCGACTACTCCCACCAGAGTCAAAGTGAGTTGATGTTTCGGCCCGACATGTTATTGACAGACCCGACTGGATATTTAGGCACCTGGAACGACACCGTCGTGCAGGCGGCATACAGCAAAGACACGCCTGCGCAGATCCAGCCTCTCGTCGTCTACGCCGCGTCCAAGACGGAGGGTGAACGCGCGTTCTGGAAATGGGTGGCCGACAACAAGCCCAGGTTCACCACCAACTCGGTGCTGCCAGACTTGACTGTATGTCCCATCCCGTCCCATCATGATGCATCTTGAACGTCAACCGCCGTGTTATACGTGTCTGTTACACCAGTACTTGGTCCTGACCTGGTGTTTCATGCAGCTGGGAAAGATCCTGCTCCCAGAGATACCGGGAAGCACCATGTCGTGGGCGGCCAGTCTCTTGAAAGGACAAGCAACTGTCATCGACTCGGTCCCACCGCGTAAGTCCTCCAGACTACCTGGCTGGTAGTAGCTCGTTCATCCTGTCCGACGTCTCGGGATGCAACTGACTGTCTTGACCTGCCCTAGAATGGTTCGTCGATGTCCGCGACGCTGCCCGCCTCCACGTTGTCGCCCTGCTGGACCCGCAAGTGAAATCTGAGCGACTGTTCGCATTCAGCCACGAGTTCAACTGGACCGATGTCATTGGCATCTTCAAGAAGCTCCGGCCGGAAAACACCCAGATTCCCCAGGCGCCGGAGAACGAGGGTCGTGATTTGACCGACGTCCACGACGGGAGTCAAAGAGCCGAGCACCTCCTTCAGTCTTTCTTCGGCGTCACTGGTTGGACAAGCCTGGAGGACAGCCTCAGGGCAGGCATTGAGGGTTCTTGATGCTTGATGCTTGATGCTCGATCAAGATCAAACTGCACCTGGTCATACTTTTGTTCTACATCACATAGAACATCACATAGAACATCACATAGAACGGTATTGTAGAGCTAAAGAATTAGAATTGACTTCTCAAGCCGCCTTGATTTGATTTGGAGGGAAGATTGAGGATTGAGGAATGAGGAATGAGGAATGAAAACTAGCCAGGCTGACGACCGACATCGCCGTTATTTGTTCCGAACAGGCACAAACGTCGTCAGCTCCATAACGTTACGCTTCAACAGTTGTTACAACGTCTTGTTGCTATTGTCATATGTTATGGATGGACTTGATGATGCAGCCACCCTCGCCCGGCAGCCGAACACGTCAACTCGTGTTACTCCCCTCCTCGGCCAGCCTCGTCCCCTTGCCTGCTGACCGTTCCGTGTCTGGTGGGGGTCGGTGTCGGGCTGCCGTCACGATTGAGCCCGCGGATGGTGGAAGTAACGCTTCCCATGGGTCGAACCCGGCTCCCAACAAAGCCCTTCCGGTTCCGGCCCGTCCGTCCACGCCCGAGCCAGTTCAACTTGAGTTGTCGCGTGAGCTCCTCCATATTCCCCTGACCATCATCTCCCGACTGCACCGAGCACAAAACCGAGAGACATTGAAGCATTCGGCCAACCGTCTCCGTGATTTGGGCCGAAGAACTGTCCGTCGGTCTGGCCGCTGGCGGAGAGCTGAAGGACTGAAAAGCGACGTCCTGCGCTGGATTGCTGACCACCGACAGGTTCGACGTGGCCCGAGACCGGCCGCCCGAGCCGACACTTCCCAGTAGCGTGCTGCCTTGAGAGTTGAAGCTGCCATACGTCGGCTCGACACCTTGTGCAGTCCCCGGGCGGTCACTGCCTCCGCTGTTGCCACGAGTTCGATTGCCGGCGTCCAAGTGCACCAAACTTGCATTGATGCTATCCAGACTGAGCCGTGAGAATGTCGCCTTTAACACTTCAAACCGTGGAAGGATGATGATGTCTCGGAAAGCAATGAGCAGGATCCGCCTCACTTCCAGCTCTTCTCCGGCTGCAACACTAAAATCGGCGCCGTCCCCGACCCCAGGCGACGATGACAACTGGCTGCCAGTTTCCGCACTGGGCAGAGCGCCCCAGAATTCCGCCGCCATCTTGGGACTGGTGAGTATGCTGCCTCGGCCTTTGAATTCCTGGTCAAGCGGGAGGAATACCGCTTGCATAAAGGGCAAAATCGAGCCAAACACTTGAATCCACATCTTCACGAGATGGGACACGAGCCTGTCGTCCGATCCCTGACGCAAGGTATGGTTAAGACTAGAGAAGCCCGTCCTCAAGAGATCTTCCAGATCCCCAATGACAATGCTGGGATCTCTCTTTTGCACGCATCTCTGCACATGGATTGTGACCAGCTTGTTCAGGTCTTCCACGGCGATCCGCACCGCCTCTCCTTCAAAAACCACCAGTATTTTGGCTCTCAGAAGATCCCACGCATCATCCGATGACATGTTGGAAAGGCCAAAGTTGATCCCGGCTTCTTTGACTTCGGTGTATGCGTTGAAATTGGTCATGGATGCGTTGCTGAAACTCGTTCCCAACGAAGGCCATTCAGATGTCTCGCTTTCTCCGCGGCTGTACACAGGCTCCAGGTTGGCCAGGGCCTGGGCCTTCTCCTCCTTCTTTTTCTCTCGCAGGGCACGTCCCCCATGTCGAAGATCCAATCCCGAGACCGTCTTCGAGAAGCTGGACGTGGGAGCAGGAGATGACGGCGCGAACGAGTAGAGCGAGTGGGGATTATTAACATCCACCGGTCTAGAGTTTGAATTCGCCGAGGACAAAGGAAGCGCGTAAGATTCGTCCTTGTCCTTCAGCTTGAGTTTCTGCCGTAGGCCGTGATGTTTGTGTACCTTGTCCTTCGACTCGGGAACTGGAACAATGGTGGAGGATGAAGGATTGGCCAACTGGTAGAAAGAGGAATTGGTCGAGGAAAGAGAATCGGCCAAGCTGGCGGTGGAGGCATTCATGACCCTGGATAGGCCACTTGGGGCGTGTCTATTTGGTGATGGTGGAGGTTTCTCTTTCGCTTCCTTGTCCTTGTCTCTGGAAAGAACCATGTGTTTCGGCCTGAATCTCTTCAGTCCCTTCTTAGATTTCTCTTCCTCCACCAACGACACCTGACTTGATGCAGCGACATTCCGTGGGAACACGACACTTGCTGCTGTCGCAGCTGCATTGGTCCCGATTAGACCATTCCGATATTGTTGGTCGGGGGCTGCAGGTGAGGTCGGGCTATCGTGAGAGCCTATCGAGCCCCGGCTGTTCCGGCGACCCTCTTGTTGGCTCTGTTCTTGTGGAAAGGGGACAGTTTGGGATCTTTTGCGATTGTGGTTGGTGGCATTGAGGTGCTGCATGGCAGCTTGCGCCGCGATCTGGGACGGTGTGAGTCCATGCGTCCCTGGGTTGTCATGGAGAACTGATTGGCTTGCCAGCGAGGCCGAGGGCATCGAGGGTTCGAAGTATCCCTGCGAATGCTGCCGAGCGCGATGTTTCTGCAGTTCCGCAGGAGGAGCTAGGTTCTGTTTCCCGGCTCCCTCTCGAGGCATGTATACCGCTGACGGCCTCGTGTGAAAAGGCAGAGAAGCATTGCTGTTATTATTGCCATGTGACGTGAATGTAGGTAACGGCTGAGCATACGGCGATCTCTTCACAACAGAGAGACTGGAGGAGGTCGAAGTGTCGCTGCCGCTGGAGCCTGGCCGAATGCTCTGCTTCGAGGTTGAACGGGATGGATTAGGGGACACCGAGGCAGGAGGCACCGGCGACCGCAGACGGGGTCGGCGCTGGGGAGGAGGCTCCATGCTCTGAACGGCAAGGGATCAAGGGATACGGAAGACTGGAGGACAGGAGGACGATTTGGCGAGGAGGCTGTATATGTATCACCTACGTCTCGTCAGCGCAGGAGACGGGGCTGTCGTGGTCGAATGTAGAGATGTCGGTCCAAAGTAGGCACCAAGCCGACTCCGCATGGGCTGTGGAAGGAGAGCAGCTGCGCAAGGCATTCTGTCATCGAAGTACAGGAGACATGCGTGTAACTAGACACTTCAGGCGCTTTGGGCTGTTGGGCTGTTGGGCTGTTGAGCTGGAGTGTAAGGTCTATTTCGCTGAGAGGATGGTCTTGATGTTTGCAAAGTGATGTTGGAGAAGTCCAGTCTAGCCACCACTGCCCCTCGCCCTGAAGTCACTCCAACCAAAACACTTCCACCGTCAATCACCTGCCATCGGTCTCGACGAATTTAAACACCACAACAATCGGTGAACCTGCTGTCCCAAAAGTCACTGGAAGCGCCACTACATGATGGACAATGCAGAAGGCTCGTCCGCCACCCTCAGCGCCGTTTATCACTCTCCGTCTGGCGACAAAGCTTTCCGTCACAGCACACCTCTGCCGCAGCCTGGGAGAGGGCGAGCTCTTGACGTACAAGCCAAGACCAAATACCTCGCGGACCTCAGAGCCTCAGGCAAGAAACTACAGGAAGAGATCAACAAGTTCCTGACCGAAAAGATGGAAGAGGACAGGACGGGCGTCTCCCAGCAAAAGGCGGGTGACGAATTGGAAGAAGAAAACTACGGCGAAGAGACCGTCGAGGACGAAAACTGAGAAATTCTATGGCACATTTGGAACAACGTCTACTTTAAGTGGGAAATGGGTTCTCGAAATCAATCACCGTGTGCTCGCTACGACCCATGGCCTGGTTACTAGGGCCCTTGGCTTTTGCCGGCAAGCTCATTTTGCTTGCGAACGGCACATCCAAGATGGACGACCGAGTTGCTGGAGCATGTCAGCACAACTCGACAGCTGGAACCATGGAAGCGAACTTACTCGGGGAACACACTGATGACACTGCCACCAAGGCGCTTGTAGCAGACACCACACACTCGGTCGTCGTCGATCCGGACCTTCCTCCCCCGGCCTCCGGATGGAGCGCCGTCTCCAAGCAGCAGAGCCGCCTGGACTCGAACAGCCTCCACTTTCCTCAGCCCGGCCGTTATCATCGTGTCATTCATGATGCTATTTGCATTGCGAATTCGTCCCCGGAAATAGAACTCGAGGTCCCTTACCGTCAAGTTTTCAGGGATCATCTCTAGCGTGGAGCTTGCTGGCAACCTGGGGCCATGGCGGGCCATTATTTCGATGGCTGGACCCCAAAGGGCGTTTTCTCCTTTGGGGGGGTTCAAATAGAGATTCAAAAGGACGTGGTAGATCGAGGGCTGTTCGTCGACTGGATCGGTCGTCGACTTTCGCCGCGAAGGAGCCTTGCGATTGTTCTTCATGGTCTCTTCCAGGTGGATCTGATTGCAATATTCCTCAGCCTTTGCTGGATCATGTAGCTTGAAGACATAAATCTCGAGAGCCTGCTTATGATTGCCCATTTTGCTGAAGACAATCGCTCGAGCTTCGTAGAACACTGCGTCGTCTCGGGGCAGTAAGCCCAAGGTTTTTGCGGGGGAGTATTGCTCAGACGTCCTCAAAAGTGTCAAGAGCTTGTCGAGGGTTTCGTCTCGACTCTGACAAGATGGGTCTTGGAGCCGGTCAAGATACAACGTCACCAGATGCTGGTGTAGATCTGGCGTGAGGTCGTTCAGCTCGTCAATGACATGCTCTAGGTACCGTTGGGCCAATCCCTTGTCGATAGACTCGAGGAAGGCGAGGACTGTGTGCCGTGGCAGCGACTCTGCGTTTTCCGTATCACCCAGGAAGATCTCCATCGCCATTTCAGGTTCCGTTTCTAGAGGCCATCTCGCGAATTCGAGAATCATGTCAATCAACTCTGGCCCCAAATTCTGCAGGTACGCCACTGTTCTAGCGGGGCCGTGCAATTCAACATCAATGCCTTCTGTTTCCTCTGCCTGTCCGAACTTCTGGAGTCTCTCCAGTGCTTGTCGATGGAGCCGTTTGCCGTACAGAAATTCAATGAGGTCATTGTACCGCTCATTTTCTTCGAGTTTGGCCATCACGACTTCAGGGTCACAGAAGTTGGGGATTCGGAAGAGCGAACCTGCAAGTGATGGCGTCGCATACATGTGTGCCCTGAACAAGGTGGTGTCCACCAGTCGTGCAAGTGCCAGAATTCTATCAGGCAGGTCGATATCGTCCAGTGTTGGCAGCCCAAGGAGATATTCGGTCACTTGACGAATATCTTCCGACTGAGAGATGTTCTGTACGTCGGCTAAAGTCCGTACAGTTTGATCCTGATTGAAAAAGCGCTGTAGCCTACGACGAACGTCGGCAAGGAAGGCCTGAAGCTCGCGAACGGCAACCTTAAGCTCCTTTTCTGATAGGGCTTCGCTGCCACTATGATCCACCGACCCAACGCTTCTGACACTGATGTTGTCTGCGTTAGAGGTAAGTTCCTTGGCCTTAGTGGCCGGACTCGTGATTGAGTCGGTCTTCATGTGACGCTTCTTCGGGCTGTCCTCGGTCTTCGACGGTGCTGTAGATTCTGCGTCGTCCTCATGCGCATCTTTAGCCAGATCCCCAGCGATGAGTTTGGGATATAGTTTGATGACACGCTCCGGCGGTGCGGTCACCTCTCCAAACAAATCCAATGCATCCCGGAACTTCTTCTCATCAAACAACTTCTGAGCCTTCTGCATTTTGATCTCTCGTAAGCGTCCTGCCTTGTTGTCGATCAAAGTCTCTTCAATCATGTCTAAAAGGCTGATCGCTTCGTCGAGAGAGCCGCTCTCAACAAGGGAGTCAATTTGGGCATCATAATTTAAACCCTGCATCCTCCAAACAGTCCGTTCACTGGCGACGAAGAACCCTTTGCCTTGGTGGGCCAAGCTGATACTGGGGTTTGGGACCTGCAACAACACGGCGCCGGGGAGATCGATTGACTGAAGCAAGGTGAGTGTCCGAGGATTGCGAACTTCCAGAACACCCTTGCTGGCCTCCTGCAGAGCGAGTAGGTAGGGGTAGGAGTATCCCACTGCTTGGGGCGACGTCCGCCATGGTATTTGCCTCCGGCCGATCGATTCTCCCTCTCGGTCGATGAAATGTGTGTTGATGTCTTTTGCCAGTAGCATCTCATCCTCTCCAAGCCCCGTAGCGAGCGGCGTCGGCACCATAGACCCCATTCCAATGTAGCTCATGGTTCCGCCCAGTCTGCTACTCTCCTGACCGGGAGCGCCACCAATACTACCCGGGCCGATGATGGTCTTCACCTCTTCGGTTTCGATATTGACGAGGACATAATTGGCGTTGAGGCCCACGAGGATTTTCGTCCCGGTCGCCCATGTCAATGATTTGATGCTGTTGGACAGGGGAATTTCGATTGCATCACCGTCGAGCTCTCCATCGTGCCATGTCCATAGCAACAGCCTCCGCTTGACAGCGACAGCTAATCTGCTAACCAGCGTAGGAACACCAGTTGTGGGATCTTTTACGATATTACTCGTCACCGCGAAAGTACTCGCTCCCCTTGTTTTGGGCAATTGCTCGAGCAGCTCATATGTTCCAAGATCATGAATCGAGACGAGACCGTTGCTCAGAGATATCAAAATGTTTGCTTCACGAAACACGGCAAGTTGTTCGATCTTGTATTTCGAGAACTTTTCGTACTCGCGAAGCAGTTCGGAGGGTTTCGTACTTGGCGTCGAGTCATCAGCGGTGGGAGGGCGGTGTTCGGCTTCATCATCGAGCTCAGAACTCCTCGAGGGTAGACTTTTAATCCGATAAACGCGAAGAGCGCCAGTGTTGAGACCGACGAGTAACTGGTCGCTATGAGAAAGGATGGATTCGATTTTGGACTTGTCTCGTTGTTTCAGCTCAACAATGGGCTGGGCGGTGAATGCAGACAACATGGAGGTGATCTTCCGCTGAGCCCGTGACGAGCCAGCGAGAGACACAACGGGCGTCACGTCGACACGCAAGCAAAACCTGGAAGCTGGAAGGCTGAGGTGTTGATATGGGACTATGTACGTTCGACCACAGGCGCAGGCTGCGGCGGGAGGAACGAACTCCGATTGGCGGCAATCACCAGCCAGAAACGCTTCAAGGCTACGTCACTGCCCAAACACGAGGCTGAGGATCTCTTGCAGCCTTGAGCACGCTGCTCATCCACATGCTGGTAGCCGTACACGTTTCGTCGGCGCCCCTCACGTAGTGATGGGAGATGCCCTAGCCGTTATGAAGTGAGAGTGCTTGTTGATATCAAAGAAAAGCCTATTTCATCCTTATCCGAATATATATTGGTGGGCAGAGTTGTTCGCAATCCCCTTCCCTTGCTTCCGCTTAATGGCGGTCAACATCGCAAAGAGCTATCATATAGCGCCACTGCTTGAGTACTTGTAGAAGACCGTCGGTAGCAAACACATCGAGACCGACAAGTCAGCAGTTTCCGCCTGATAAGAAGCCACGCCCCACCGCATGGTGACACACTAAGCCAATCTTTCGGAGGAAGGAAACGTGCAGTGGTGGTCTTGAGAAGAATCTCTGTCAGATCTGGTACCTGCTAGATTTTGCAACTGGGAGGATAGAAAAACAAAGGATGAAAAAACAAAGGGTGGTAAAACAAGCCCGGCTCCTTCTTTCAAGGCTTGTGCGTCTTGA